AAAAAAAAGTAACATTATAAAATTAAAATTACAATACAAGACAGAAAAGATAAAATCACTCCCTCTGTGCCGCAAAATAAAATCCTCTGCCGCTGCCCTTCCCTCCCAATCCCAAATGTTATTTCTGTCTGCATCAAAATTAATATTACACAATTTAGTTATATTACATTTGTAAAAACCAAAGACAGGAAAAAGGGTTTCTGGTTCGGGAGCTAGAAGGTTTAAAACAGGGAATGGAGTTTGGGGGCATTCCACATCATCCAAAGTGATGTCCACAACATAAAAAGCAACAGCTAACAGAGCCATGGAATAATAATGCCAGTTGGAGAGGTAAATAACCTAATGAGAACAATAATAACAACAACAACAATCGATAGCAATAATGACAGCAGACAGATAAACCAGGAAACCTTAATTTTTCTGATAGAGAGATGTAATCGTTGTGCTGTTAGTCTACTGTCCTTTGACTGCTGATGCCTGAAACATGGAGGAGAGCCTGTGTTTCAGCCAATCAGCGTTTTCACCCTGCAATGTTATGACTGAGTCAAATCACAATGCAGCTAGCAGGAAGTCAGACGACTCCTGAAGCAGAGCAAGGAAAAATGAAAACCGTAAGAAGAGAGAATGCAGAGCATGTATGACTGACGTCTTATCGGTTGAGATATGAAAAGTAGTAGTAAGGCAGCTGTCAGATCAAATACAAACACAGGACCTGGTGGGTGTGAGTGAGTGTGTGCATGTTGTGACACGCTCCAGTCCAGACCACAGGGGTCTGATGAGGAAATTCGATCAGCTCAGCTACACAGACTGCCTGCAGGTCATCTATCTCACAGTTCGCTGCTATAGATCCATCTTGTTGCTGGCTAAGCAGGGACAGGCCGCCGGTCAACACAGTTTAGTTAACCAATCAGATTCCTGGATAATCCGGCCACAGAGGCAAATTCAGGATATTAAAACATGTCGAACATGTTCATTTCGAGTGTGTGTGTGTGTGTGTGTGTGTTTGTGTATGTGTGTGAATGTGCATAGTCTGAGGAAAGGGTGTTTCAGGACAGGGGCTCATATGTCTGACTTTTCCAGGCTATCGTGCTGTAATGACCAACCCCTTAACTCCTCTCGTTCCCATGCACCATACTGGAGCGGCTGCAAACTTCATAGCATTATGCTAACTGGCCTATGAGAAGACAGGATTACTACTTACCTAATATCCCATGAGCTAACTCTGACACACACACACACACACACACACACACACACACACACATAGCCTGAAGAGGTGGCCCGGGGCCAGGACAGCTCGAACCAGAGAGAACCCCGCTGAGCTGAGCTAGACTGTAGACAGGAAAGAGCAGAGCGCTGCGTGCTGAAAGGGCAAGCTACTACAAATGAAGTGAACAGCCGAGTGAACTACACACTGGAATCATTAGCAGTCTGTTCGAGTCCTGAATCTTTTTTTTTTTTTTTCCTTTTGCTGGTCTTGTTCTGCTAGACTGGCCTACGCTGTTTTTCACTGGCTTGTTTATCTATGAAACAAATGCAGCAGAAAAACTCAGACCTCCACCCCTCTTCATTCTGCCCACCCACCCACAATACCATATTACGTAGTGAGTGGCATGACATGTGTTACCACTCCAAATAATCCACTTACAAAAAATCCTGAATCATTAACGTCGTTAAAATGCTATGATTCTTTTAAAATGTAACTTTTCTTTAATAATTTTATTTAAAGTATATAAAGATATAGTCTGTGAGATATTAGAGCTCAGTTTGCACTTTTGTACATGCTAGAAAAACAAGGCATAGAAAGGCAGTGCGTGTGTGTGCATGTGTGTGTGTGTAGGTAGGTGTGTGTGTGTGTGTGTGTGTGTGTGTGTGTCTAAGTTGCCCCCTGCTCTCTCAGGCTCTCATACTTATGTAGATGACAGGTCCGCCAGTCAAACACACTCTAAGGTCCTGAGGGTGACACCACTACACGGAGAGCCGGCGGTCCAGTCTGAGGGAGAGGGAGCATGTTTAAGAGCTAAAGGCAGTTCTGTGCACACGATGGGGGCGTTTGCTGGTTTAGTTTAACATTATCTATGATTGTTAGACGAGCTCTAGCTGGTGAACTACGATTCTGTGCTGCTGAGACTTGAGGGAAACGTCTTTTGTTTTTTTTTTCAGTGTACAAGCCATGTTAGGTGAGGTAAAATGGCGAGTTAACAGTTGCTTAAACCCCACAAACCCTTCTTCCCCCTGCAGCCTTCCCCTTTATGGTCCCCTTCGCAGATCCTCTTCATCCTCGTCTTTTCCTCTCCTCCCTCCTCCCTGGGGTTAAAATTGTTTTCTGTGAGTAGAGTCATGCTATTTCCACAGGTGGTCCGCAAGAGAAAGAGGGTCAGGACTGGATAGAGACAGAAGGAAGATTACATAAAAGTCATAAGCTCTGAGAGAACAGTATGTCGAGTTCAGTTCGGATGGTCTTGTCTTGCAGTGAACACGGTTGAGCGTCCAAAGTCCACCAGTCCCATTCACTGTTGGTTGGGCTTTTTCTTTTTTTTTTTTGCTTGTGTGTATTTGTGTGCATGATCCAATAGACATACAGCAATAGGCTTCCCTGAGTGGAGTGGGCCAGGTTTAAGAGTCAGTCAGACAATATCCAACAGCTCCACGCTTCAGTCTTCAAGACAATTTCATTTTTATCCCATTGTTTTTTCAAAAGGGCTTCATGAGTTAACGATCACTCAGAGTCGCCCTCCTCCCTCATTTTTCCATGTCACTGCAGCGACAAGCTGTGGGTTTTTAGAAACAGGCACTTGAAGTCCCGTTGTCTTGTAGGAAAAGTGGCATGGGTGTCCACATTGTCATCCTAGATGTGCTGCTGGGCTGTAAGGGAGTGAGAGTCCCCTGAAGAAAGTGTTGACTGGCTGCTAAACCTACTGAGGGGGCCTGAAGGTGGGCGTTGTGCTACTGGAGCTTCACTGGCCGGGTGGGAGGTGAACTTGGGTTCCAGAGCAAGTCTCCGTCTGACGTCAGCGCTGTTACAGTCATTGTGTCTGGTGTGTCTGAGTGAGTGAGGCCTCCTCTCCAACGATGCATCCTGATCCAGACAGAGGACGTTTGGTGGGTCTGACAAGAGTCGGGCTGTCTCTAAGTTGCTGGATATATTTGTGTGTATGTTGGACTCTGCTCTCAGGTCACTGGAGGTTTTGGGAATCTAGTTTGTCTGTGTGGGAGAGGGATTACAGAGGAACCATTTACATACGCCTGTACTACATCCTGTGCTGCTGGAGCAGTAGTGTTTAGACTAAGGCTCTCATCAGCAGTCTTTATTCTCTAGAGACAGCTGTGCAGTGGCACGGTGCAACTCAGCGCTTGCCATTCTGTGTGAGGCCAATGGTGTTGCTAAAGAGCCCTCATACGCCAACGGGGGAGGACTCTCCCCTTCTCCACTGCCTGTCCCGTCCTCCTCCATCTCCATCTGTCCATTACTTTGCCTCGCTCTTTCCCTCTCCTCCTCTGGTCGTACTTTTTTGTCATCTGACTCCTCCTGTGAGGCCTCCATCCGCTGGTCTTCGCTCCAGCGTCTCTTGAAGCGGAGCTTGAGGGGGATGCACTTGGTCTGGGGAGCTCCCGCCGAGGCCGTCTGAGATGGGGGTGTGTTGCTCTCAACCGGCTCGGGGGGTTCACTCTTGAGGATGGGCAGGCCACGGTGTGCATTGGACTGTGTGTGCTGCGAGGTGAAGAAAGGCATGAGGCCAGGCGGAGGTGGAGCGGGGGCTTTGAAGACGTCCTCGTCCAGGTCTTCGTCAGGATGGGGTTGATGCTGAGTTGTGGCTGTGCCGTTAACATGGTGGTGGTGGTGGTGATGGTGGTGGTTAGACGCTCTGAAGTGTCGAGGAGAAAAGAGCTCAAACTCCTCATCTCTTTCATCTGGGTCTTCATCACTAATGTCAGTTACCTCCACCTCTTCCTCAGACTCTATATCAGAGATGGGCTCCACCTGAACAGTCAGGAAAAAAAAACAGAGGGACAAAGACTTCAATGAGCACAAGAGGAAAACAATAAATGGAGGAACTTTGGCAGTGAATTAGTAACACATTTTTAATCTTGTGATGTTTTAAAACTGATGGCCATTTTCATTATGTAAATTATACACATGGTGCTTTACTACAAATAGTTTGTTTTGAGTCTAACAATGGACCTTTGCTAATTGTGCAGACTAAAAATACATATGAAGAACTTTTCAGGGTCATGTGGAGATTCATGTCAAACCGTTTACATTAATTTATATATAAGCACTGCTTAGTTCACAATGGGGGACATTTTGGTCCGTATGTCATACCTTTATCTTGGGTAGCCCGGCACTGTTTAGAGACTGCGTTGAGGAGGAGGCAGAGATAAGACCTGAGCCACTGGCTGAGCTCAGGTCACTGCCGAATGATAGCGAGGATCCCAGGCCGGAGGTAGAGGACATGGACCCGGATCCTGAACCTGAAGACAGTGAGCTTTGCCTGGGTTTACTCTGGCTTTGCCCTTCCCTCTGCTTCCTGCCCAGTGGAGGTGGCTGCAGCTTGAACTTAAAAGGAGACATGTGTGGGGGCTCCTCACCCAAGTGCAGTGGGTGATGTATGGGATGGGAATGCGAGTGAGGGTGGGCAGAGTGAGGAAGATGCGGGTGGTGGTGGGTGGAGTGAGCAAGAGGTGGATGGTGGTGCCTGTCTCCTCCTCTTTCTCCTCCCCCAGCTGTCGTGGCTCTTTCTGCTCTCTCGGTTGCTCCCCTCTCTGCAGTCAGACTGGCCTTGTCTGCGGCAGGCCGGTGGGGCTGAGGGATGACAATGTTGGGGTACTGGAGGAAAGCTCTGGGGCTGAGGCCATAGTTGTACACCGACTGGGTATGGGCCTGCAGGTAGCGCTTCATGTCCTCTGGGTTGAAGGAGAAGTGTGAGCCTAACATGGGTGACAGAGTGGGTGAGGGAGTGTAGGGCAGGTGAGATGTGGGGGTCATGGAGAGCGCTGGGGACAGAGGAGGGGCCAAGAGGCTGGCACCTCCCGGCCCTGGCAGAGGGGACACAGGGAAGGGGGACAAAGGCTCCGGATGGATACGGTGTCCAGTGTGGCCGCGGGAGCCTGGGTGCCCAGCAGGGTTACCTGGCCCTCCATACATGCGGAATAGGGTTTCATGAGACAGACGGGGATGGATGATGCTCCGGTAGCCTGCTCCGCCACCAGCTCCTCCTCCTCCGCTCACAGCCCGTTCTCCCCTCTCTTCTCCTGCTCCCGTGTTACCCTCCTCAATCTCAGAATTAACCGAGGTGCCGTCGCTGCAATCGCTGACGGAGCCACGCGCCATTCGTCGGGCCACTGAGCTGAACATGCCCCCTGGGCTGCGTAGGTCCTCGTTAGGGGAGAGGACTTCTGAGGGTGTGGAAGGAGGGAAGCGGAAGTGGGTCCCTGCACCGGTGGGGACCGGAGGGGCACTCTGGGGAACACTGCCTCCTGTAGATGTTAAGGCAAGAGAGGGAAGAGAAGGAGGAAAAAAGAAAGGGAGATAAACTGAGAAATAATATACAATGTTCTCTTGTATAATCCCATGTAATCACGCTACCCTATTGTGGGATTAGGAGATATAAAAACATGCACACTGTTAGAATGTTGGTGCTTACCAGTGGAGCCCATGTCAATGAAGGGGTAATTGACCAAAACCAGTTTATTGAAGTTGAACTTGTAGGTGAACCTCTTGCCTTTGGTCTTATGAAGGATTCTCTTGTTGTAGTAGTATCTGTAAAACAGCAAAAAATAATCATGATAAATAAAGCTAAGTCACTGAAGACAAGGAATATAAACACTGCCTCATCTACATGAATAAAACATTTTGTTGAAAATGTGGGTCTCCCGTTAACAGATTATTTTGCTCCTGGAATCATTGAGACTATGTCAGATGAGCCCGCACACACACAAGCACACGTGTTAAAAAGCATAAGTCATTCATAACCCCCTCCCTCCTTCTCCATGCTAGCTAGATATTAGAGAGTGTTGTATGATATTTGCACAAAGCAGACCCAGAGAGGAGAAGAGGGAGGAGGAAGAGGGGGGAGAGAGGGGATGAGACAGAGAGAAAACAAACAGACAGAACGGGCAGATGGACTAAGTTGTGCAGCAGCATAGGGATGTTGTGTGTAGGGATCGCTAATAATTAAGAGATCAGTGATTAATGTAAGCAGTGTGGCCAAACGCAACGCCTTTTCAGCCTGCATGGATTGTTTGAACACAAGGGTGTGTGAGTAACTGTATGCATGTTTGATAAGTGTGTGAAACCTATGCCGTGTGTGTGTGTGTGTGCATCTGTCTAAAAGAAGGTCAGAGATTATAAAAAAGTTATTTTTAGTTCTTTTAAGTTCAGAGGTTGTCAGACAAGTATCACACACAACATTTTCATTTTGCTAGATGGACCTATCTTTTTATGTAACAGCAAAGCAAAGCCACCAATAATCTAGCCCATCTTTATCTGTTTATGTAATGGCTATTCTATCTTTTTTTCAAAAGCTTTCTCTCTCCCATGGCTCCTGCCTACAGTACAAGGCTCCATTTTTATTAACCTTTGTCCAGCTACAGCTCTTTATGTAACATCTCTGTGCTTTCTTCCCTGGATCCACATCCACTTTATGTAACCTCTAGGTCCCTGGCTGCCAACCCTTACACACTGAGGGAGACCAAGCAAAGGAAAGAGGGGATGATTAAGAACAAGAAAGGAACAAAAACCGTGTGCCTGTCCATCAGGGAGAGAACAAGCTTGTGTGCCACGCTCACTGAAACTACCACCCATCCTTTTAACAATGCCCCTGGATATCAAACACAAGGTTTAACCAGACTGCACTTTTCACGTCACATCTCCATGCCTACCTGCTTTTATAGCACTAGACTCTGCTTTCCCTTCCCTCAGCTTGTGCCACAAGTGATGAGTGCTGGCAAAGACATGGTCTTCAGGGTATGTAGGTAATATTGAGTTAATCAGAACCCATTGACTATCATTACGCTGAATGGTAGTTATCTAGGCGGCGGCGTGTGTGTCTGCGAGTGTCTGTCTGTTTCGTGGTGGGGAGGTGTCGCCCTTCACCCCCTCTTATTATGCTTATTACACAGACTTGTTGGGCCGTTTTTACTCTGGGAACAGACTGTTGCTCTTTTTTTTTTTTCACGTGTTCTCTTCGCAACCCCCTTTCTCCCATTATCCTACTGATACCCCTCTGTCTCCCTCTTTCTCTCATCAACCCACCTCCCCCTCTTTATCCCAACTCTCTCCCTGCGCTCTCCACTCGTCCCCCGAGGCAATGGGAGAGGATGAGAGCGAGGGAGAGACAGACAGAGAGACAGGACAGGCCTGCACTGTTGAAAACATTGTTTACGCCAGGCACAAAGCAGCATGTAATTTCTGCTCTAAGGGAGACACTCACAAGAGCCGGGAAGGAGGGAAGAGAAACACTTGTGCGCGAGGGCACAGACGCAGACAGGCAGCGAGGAAAGCAAGCAAGCAGAATTAAAATCACAACAGGACTGTGGGGATAAGACTGAATTTCCTGTCCTACCACTACAACATTTTTTAGGCAAAACACTGCATGAGCTCGAGTTGGATTTCTCTCCTATTTGGATTAAGTAAAAATATTTAATCACATTTATTTTTTGCTGGTCAGTAATGAGTGGCCGGCCCTCATTGTAATACAATAGCTGTGCTTATATTTAGTCAACCAACACGGACATGAATGAGGTGGACAAAATATTAGAAACACCTCTCAGTAGCACACCACCACAGTCTTCCACAAAGACCAGACAGCTGAAGAGATGCCTCTAGTTGTGCAGTTTTAACAGAGTCTAAATATTGTTAGTTGTATAGGTAGAATTTATTACAGTGCTGTTGTATTAGAATATGTGCTAAATGTGTATAATACAAACTCATCCCAATAATATTACTGCGTGGACACATTTGTCTTACTCATGGCAGTTGGCTAGTAGGGAGGGGGTACAGCCAAGTAAAAATTTAGTGTGTTTGGGCGCACATGATGCACACAACGCTGAACTGCATAGTTGGAAGGAGACAACTTAGCGGCAACTGAAGCTGTCTTTAGAGCACATGGTCACCCATTCTTTCAACATGACCCACCCCCCCGCCCCGCGCCATCATACGGGCAGACAGTCTTTGAAGAGCATTTGAACTTACTTCAAAAGAGAAGAAAGAGATTCCTTGAGTGCCTGTGTTTAGCTGCCCACCGCACTCGCCTTACACGCACATGTGCGACACACACACACACACACACCTACCATATCCTGTGCCATCTCATTCAGACAGACTCAAACATACAGTTGCATGTGTTTCCCCACTACGAGAACATATTAGTCAGGATATGCAGCTTTATCCCACTCCCTGTTTAACTAAAAGACTAGACTGAACAATCAGTGCAAGTATGGATTTAGCCAAAGCCTTCAGGGAAACGGCGGAGGCATTCTATCAACTCGGTTGTTTCTGTGAGTGATTCTAGGCCAGGGATTAAAGCTGTGATTATACAGACATAGAGGGATCCAAAACATTATGATCAAAGCAGAGAGATGTACACTGGAGTGCAGGAACTAAATAGCAATGAACGAACAGTTAATTTACTTCAACCACGTCTGAAAGAATTCACAGGGAAATACCACAACATTGTTAATAACATGTTTGTTAGTAGATGTTGTATTTTTACTGGTGTCATTTAAATACCTGAGCTGTATCTCTGACATCAAAACAATACTTTTTATATGTCGCTTTGACGTCTTACTTTGCTAATATGAACAAAATTTGGGTTAAATAAATTCAAACTTCTGAAACAAAAGTAAGAATACAAGAACTTACAAGAGCAACAAAAATCAAAGCAGCACGGTACAAATAGAAGTATAAAATTGGAAAGGCATTGACTCGGAGGAAAACGACTGCTTTAATTGTAAATGTGGTCGTGTTACAGCTCTGTTTGTCAGTTCTATCAGATATAGTAACGCTGTAGTGTTGAGGTTGTGAGATGGTAATAGACCCTTCATCAGAGCAGAGTCAGTGCCACTGCAGACAGTCGTGTTGCTGCAACGTCTCATAGTTTGTTGCTGAGTTTACTTGTTTGTTGTTTGGAATCCAAAACCAAGTTCTGTGAATTATTTTGGCAGAATTGTGAGAATTCTGTGTTTTCAGACTTGAACATTTTAAAAATTTTCACCCTCAAAAAATGTCATACCTGGGAAGCCAATTCAAGGTTCATGAAATCTGGTAAGGACACAGACAAAATTGCTTCCAGCAGATTGATGGATTGAACGACTTCAGCAGAGGCCAAATATTTAACTATTGGCCCTTGATAATTGAAAAAAAAGTATACGATTTTTAATATTAATGCTCCAACATCAGTAGATTTTGATGTGTGGCAAGTGTAGCAAGCCAGAGTTTCTTTTATTTTGCCATTTTGCCATGCCTTATTGGTAATGTGGCGTCATTAATATGACCACAAGAACCTGTGTGCATAGAAGCCCACATAGTCTAAAGCTACAAGTTGCTTCCATGTTGTCTTAATGTTGAAATTTAACAACATTAGAAGCTTAAGCCCCTTTCAGACATGCGCCCCATTCTGTTAAAGTAACAGGAACTGAATGTAGTGAATGAACACCCTGGTCACATTTCCATAAAGGTCGTGCCGGCGGTGTTACTAGGTCAGACCAAGCAACGTTTCAGTATCACTTTCAACACGGCACAAGTCTGAACTGCACTGTCAGTAATGGTACCTTGAGTTGAGATTTTCCCACGTTTCAGTCCCAACATTCATCCAAAAACATCACAGAGAGCGGTCAATAAACAGTCTGTGTGCCAAAATCACAACACAATTTTCTCCCTCACTGTGCTCTGCAATTTTAAATCTATTAGACTACATGCTGAAGTATCCATAATAATTCAACTGTACACATACTACGAGGTCAGAATAATAAGAATAATTGTTTTCCTTTACAAGATGCTAACAGGAGCTAAAGTTTGTTGCATCCAGCTGTTTAGGACTATTCTCTCTGAGTTAAATAGCTGCAGCATCAAACAGCAGTAAGATCCATACGTGAGTCTTCATAGACACAGAGAGAGTTGGGCGCATTTGTGTAAGTAAAAGAATTCCCGTGCCGGTAACTTCATCAAATTCATATAATTAGAAATTATCTCAGTGAGAGCGTAGAGAGTGGATCAGGATCTGACAGCAGATTTCTCTGTGTAGGTCTACATGTTTTGACATCAGACAGGTGAGCTGTCATACAAAATGGCAGTTTAGTTTCCAGCTGTTTAGGAGTATTTCCCATTTTCAGTCATTAATTAATGATTTATTATAAGTTTAATAATGACATGGAGCATCAGATAACAGTTTGAAAACGTTGTAGCTTTTCTGTTTTCAAGGGTCACTAAAAAACACATTAGTTTTCATGTTGTGTTAAAATTAAAAATCTAATTTTTTCTCCTGCTCTTTAAAAAGAAAAAAGAAAAATAAAATCAGTAATTAAAAATTGCCTTAAATGAAACATTTTATTCTTATAATTTTTTCATGTTTTCCCACAAACATGTAAATATCCATTAATTTGGTAACCTTGGGGATTTTTTGCAACTTGAACAATATTTTTTCTGCCTTGTCGGATTTGTTGTAGCATTTTTTTGTTTGTTTGTTTGTTTTTTTGCCATGCTCTTATGTCTTAAAGTCACTGCAAATTCAAGGTCAAAAACTGAATATCATCAAAGCATTT